GCAGGAGAAAGACATGGGCACTGCGGCAGAAGATGCGCAGGGCAGCCGCAGGCGTGGGACGCGGGGTGCGTGTCTCAGCTGCGCGCTCACTGAGCCACCCGACCTGACCGGCACTGCTGTCCCCTTCGGGGGAGCTGCCCGTCGGTGTCCATGAGGCTCCGCTCACCAGTTTTCCAAATGTTGGCGTCCCATTGATTTCCGCAATTCCCCAAGCCCCGGGGCCATCTGGAAGCCCAAGTGGAGCGGCGCCGGGCCTCGCAGGGAGGGGCCGGGCCCAGAGCAGGCGTCCCTCTCTGTGGGCTCGCCGTGTCCAGATCTGATAATAGCTAATTCCACCAAATATTAGAGGGGCTCACATTTAATTAAGGAGTGGCCATGTGCGCGCTCTAGACTGGAGGTCCCCACTGCCCCCAAGTCAAAGGCAGGGTCCTCCGGGAAATGCCAATCTCTCCTTATTTCTCCGCTGAGCGCCCGCTCTCTTTGAATGCAATTATGGGAACAAATAAAATGGCTTAACTCAACTCCCCTGTGAGACCACCAGCTCTCTGCTGATAAAACGGGTTGTGTGGGCAATCATTAAATGAGAAATCTAATATTTAACTAAATTTAATAGTCTCTTGCTTTGGTGCTTCTCTGTGAAGGGTGGGATTTCAATAGGTGGGAGGGAGCTATTCAGATGGAGCCTGGGCCCCCAGCAAGCGGTTAGACCATCCTGCTCCCACACGACGCCAGAACACCCCAGTTTGGGCATTGATAAGGGGGTGTTTGGTGACGAGGCTGTGTCCTCCGTAGCTCTGGGCAGGCCCGTGCTCTGTCTGAAGCCTCCCCTTCTTGCTGGCCATCTCCTGCACCGATGCTCGATGCAGGAGAGCAGGTGAATGTGTAAGGACCTCACGAGCTCTGCAGGCAGAGGCTGACTGACAGCTAGGGGCCCATCTGTGCTCTGCCTTCACTAATTTCACAGATTTGAGTTCCCATCTTCCCAGCCCTTCACTCGCTGTTCACCTGGCTGAGAGGTGAAGATCACACAGTCTCCTGGGGTCGCGGCGGACATGCCGTGAGCAGCAGCTTGGAGATGGACGGCCTCATCAGACCCAGACACTGGTCCCCTCACAATAAGCCTCAGTCTGGGCATATCGATGAACCGGCGAATAGCCTGACATTCATTTCATATCAATATATGTATCAGTAATCCTTCAAGCTCTAGAAACTCTAGTGTAGATTTGGTAGACATCTGCTTTTGTTTGTGCTGGTTTGCTATATACGTGAGCTTGCCCGCCACTCTGGAAACTTCTGAGAGCCTTGGGATTTCTGAGACTTCCAGAAGGATCTCTCAGGTCTGTTGAGTTTCTTCAAGACTGTTTTGAGGCCAAGGCAACAGGGCCCTGTGAAGAACAAGGAGAAAGGGGCTGGGAAGGTGGCTCAGTGGTAAAACGCATGCTTTGCATGCCAGAGGCCCTGGGTTCGATTCCTCAGCACCACATAAGCAAAAAGAAAAAAGCCGGAAGTGGCGCTGTGGCTCAAGTGGTAGAGCGCTAGCCTTGAGCTGAAGAGCTGAGGGACAGTGCCCAGGCCCAGAGTTCAGGCCCCATGACCGGACCCAGGAAAAAAAAAAAAAAAAAGAACAAGGAGAAAGATTTGGGTAGAGATCTAGCCTCAGACCACTAAAAACTGCTTCATTTCTATAGCACTGCTAAGTTCTAATGAACAGACCCTCCCTCCCAAGTGACCAGAAACATATTCACTATACTTTAACTGAGAGGGAGGGACAGAACACTGATGCCTGGTTGTGGGGGGAGAGGGGATGTGGCCACACAGGCAAACTCTTCCATTTGTGTTAAGTGTATCCAGAGTGGTAGGCAAGATCGCTCGGGCAGGGTGGCACCTTCTCTTGGAGGAGGTGGTGTTGGATAGAGCAGCAAAGGAGGGTTGATGCGTAGGGAGAAGCAGGTGGCAGTGCCGGAGACAGTAGAGAGCGTGCAAGGTAGAAGATGCCAGTCTTTCTGGGTTGGAAGGGCTTCAGTCCAGACTTGCAGCCTCTACGTGGGACTCAAAAGCGGATAACAAATGAACTCCCACAAGTCAAATAACCCTGTGCGGCGGTGCTCTGTGCTCTGAGTGCTGTGTCGCAGGTCAACACAGCTCTCAGGACTGTGGGGTGACGCAGGCACAGGGCGCATGCCCTGGGCACAGTGCCTTCCCTGGTCCACCCTCTGTGTGTGGCAGAGGGAGGCCCAGCCTGCTCAGACTGCAGACTTCCCTCAGGCCATTCTAGCTCAGACCCCTCCCGACACCACAATTGGGTGTCCTTTCTGGCCTTCCGGAAACACCACTGCGCTGTGGAGTTTATTTAGACCCTCACAGCATGGTCTAACATCAGGATTTCTTAAACTCTGCCTACCCAAAACTAGCTTCCTTCTTCTGACTGTACCTTTTTAAAAAAAAAAAAAATCATAGCTGAATATTGCCAGGGACCAGTGGCTCACACCTGTAATACTAGCTACTCAGGAGGCTGAGATCTGGGGATCAAAGTTTGAAGCCAACCTAGGCAGGAAAGTCTGTGAAATTCTTATCTCCAGTTAACCACCAAAAAGCCAGATGTGGAGGTGTGGTACAAGGTGTAGCGTGCCAGCTTTGAGTGAAAAAAGCCAAGTGAGAGATGATGTCCAACCACTTGAAATCATTTTCCATTCTTTATCAGCTCAGGCATGGGGACACGCCCTCCTCCTCCCTGTGGGCTGAGGGCTCCAGGGATACTGATCTACACACACAAACCATTCCCTGCCAGGATCTTCCTGTTATAAACCATAATTTCACCTCCAGTGCACACACCTGTCAGCAGCCCTCCCTGAAGGTAGACATTGCTGTGAAGGGGCGTGACCTTACAGTGGTGACACTGTAATGTTAGCTCACTCATTACAGCAGTCGCCAAGTCTTGCTTTGATGTGTTGTGCTTCTGGATCTTGACTTGGTAAGTGTTGACCTGTGCCCAGAGTCCTAATGTTTTCCCTACTCTTTCCTGTAAAGTTTCACGGTTTTTGGTCTTACACTGAGGTCTTTGATCCATTTGGAACTGATGCTGGTACAAGGTGCTATATAAAGATCTAGTTTTCATTTTCTACATGTGGATATCCAATTTTGCCAGCACCATTTGTTGAAGAGGTTGTCTTTCTTCCAGCCTTTGTCTTTGGCTCCCTCATCAAATTATTAGATGACTATAGGTCTTTTCTGGGTCTTCTATTTTGTTCCATTAGTCCTCAGGCCTGCTTTTGTGCCAGTACCGAGCTGTTTTCATTACTATGACTTTGTAATACAGTTTTTGAAGTTTGGTATTGTTATTCCGCCAACACTATTGTGCCTACTAAGGCTTGCTTTGCTATTCAGGGTCATTTGTGGTTCCATATGAAATTTTGGATTGCTTTCTCTATCTCATTGAAGAATGTTGTTAGGATCTTATCCATCCATCAGAAAAGAATGATATTATACTATTCATAAAGAAATGGAAAGACCTGGAAAAAATCATATTGAGTGAAGTAAGCCAGACCCAGAGAAACACGGGTTGCATGGTTTCCCGCATTTGTGATAGCTAGAATGATCCTCTAAACCTGTAAGTAAACACATTTGGTGGTATGCAAGTGCTTACAAATGAATTAACTGAAGTGTGTACACTCTACGGAGAGCTCAAGTAGTGTAAGACAGTCATAGAAATAAGCACCAGGAAATGGGTACTTGGAAGAGGGTGGGCGGGGCCAAGGGGTGAGGGATAGATAAATGAAGGGGGAACGGAGGGAGAAATCAGTCAATGACTTGTGGTACATACCACAAAATTAAGAAAAGGAAGGAAGGCGCAGAGAAAGGTAAGGGGAAGAAAAGATCAAGATGCATTCTGTCCATAAGCTGCTTTGTTAAAGGGCAACTCGTCTGCACAACTTCTTAAAGATGATAAATTAAAAAAATTTTAAAAACTATTCACCAATTCTACCTCTCTGAGGGCTGAGATTGCCAAAGCCAGACTCCTTAGGATGGGAACTCACTTCATAACGAACCACAAGTCAACCCTCACTTGTGGGATTAGTGACTAGGTCCGCAAAAATCTCTGCTGTTTCTTATGTATCAGTTTCGGAATAAAGTGAGCTCATGAGCTTCATGTAAAGCATGAAGATGCCCCAGTGCAGCACTACTCCAGGCCCCTAACCCGGGGGGGGGAGGGAGGGGGGCCTTTACACATGGCCAGTCCACTACATATAAAGTGTGGCTTGTGGGACTTGACTATCCCAGAAAGCGATCGCCAAGTGAGGGTTTCCAGCCTTGTGTTCAAGATCTTTTAAAGAAAGAATATAAGTCCCATTTGTAGGGAGTAATTTAATCAGGATAATAGCACAGGGTGCCCTCCCATCCCCTCCCCTCCCCCCTCCACTCCCTGGTCATTGTGACCATCATACTGAATTTGTCCTCACAGACACATAAAACCAACAGTCTTTTTTTTGGTGGGGGGGGGGCGGTCGTGGGGCTTGAACTCTGGGCCTGGGCACTGTCCCTGAGCTCTTCAGCTCAAGACGAGCGCTCTACCACTTGAGCCATAGCGCCATTTCCAGTTTTCTGGTGGTTCAGTGGAGATAAGAGTCTCACGGACTTTCCTGCCTGGGCTAGCTTTGAACCGTGATCCTCAGATCTCAGCCTCCTGAGCAGTTAGGATGACAGGCATGAGCGGCTCCTGACCACTGGTCTTGAGACGAGTCCTACAAAGCCTATCCATGCCAGTGGGAAGGAGAGGGCAGAGGCGTCCAGAGCTGGCCTGATGGAGGAGGAAGGGCTCTGCGATCACAATGTGAGCCATGTAACTTGAGCAAGCTGCTTGCTGGCTGGGCCTCCTGCCTAGTTCAAGAGCAGGGGCCAAGGTCACCTCCAGGACAGGTGCAGGATCCATGTGTAGACACACTAGGACCCACAGGTGTTTGGTAACCATCCAATAGTCTCAGCCACTGTTTTCTCCCTTCCAGAACTCTTCGATCTGGAAACCAATGAGCATGTTTGGAAGGCCATTGGTGACCGGCAGATGCCCAAGATAGAATACAAGAAAATCGAGATCGACGATTACAGTGAGTGCTCCTTTTCTCTCCACCTAGGACAACAGCACAGCCTCTGGCCGCTGAGCACGGGCACGGGAAGCCCAGTCCCGGGCAGAGCCTCCCTGCCTGGCTGCCACCCACCTGTGGCTCACTGTGAGGACAGAGGAACTCAGGCAGGGCACAGCTCCCCTGGCTCAGGATGCTCGAAGACCAACGCCCATAGAAAACTCACCGCTGTCCGCTTGTGCAGCCCCTCCCTCCCTCCTTAGCCGCTGACAGTGCTCAGGTGGCGGTGGTTGTCACCCGATAGCCTGATGAGTAGCCCTGTCACCCGCCACCTTGTGCCCTTCCTCCTCAGCCTACCCAGTCATCACACAGGCAGCTCTGCACAAGGCACTGAAGACACCAGGCGGGAAGCGCTGGCGGGCAGAGTTCTCCCCTCTCCCCACGGCCAGTTCAGCCCCGGAGTCCTTCTGCCCTCACTCTGCACGGTCCTCCCTGCCTTGCCAGGCCTCAGACGATGCCTGTGGAGGGCACCGGCTGTCTGTCGGTGGGTGCGTGTACTGAGCCCCAAAGTCGCCCCAAGTCCCTCACTCAGAGCCCCCGCTGGCAGCACCTCGAAGGTCATCTGTATCCGTAGCCTACTGCTAGTGCTGGAGGGGAGCTGGCCAGGCTGGAGGAGGAGGGTGAAGGCAGAGCTGTGAGCCTCTCCAGAAGGTGCCACCCCGAGCCGGCCCTCCCTGGCCTGTCCAGGGTCAGGGGCACTGGGATGTTTGTGGGTAGCCTTGTGCTTGACCGCTCAGCCCAGCCGCCGCTGCCCCCCCTCCCCCCGCAGGCAGGGCAAGGGTCCTCAGGGTGGAAACGCAGCTCACCCCTGTGAGACAAGCGGCCCAGCCCAGGCCCTCCCCGCTCCCGTGCTCGTGAGTGGTTTCACTGGGAGCTGAAAGTAAGAGGCGTGATGTCAGAGCGCGCGTGAGGCGGACCCGTCCACAGGACCTTGAAAGGGTCACGGCTTGGGCTTCAGGTCCTGTGGGGAGATGAACTGGACTTATCTGGAGACCAGGAGCGAGATGTTGCAGGAAGCGGTGAAGTGGTACCCCACTTTGGCCACAGAATGTGCCTATGCCGTTGTCTCTACCCTGTTCCCGCACCCCGACGTGTGTCCTCATCCCTGGAGCCCGCAGCTGGTGGCCACACCCACCTTTGCCCAAGGACTCCCCTCCTCTCCACAGCGGCTTCCTGCCCACCCCATTCCGGTCTCTCCACCTGCCCCACGAGGGAGCTCTGAGTGCCAGGGTCGTTCACTCCCCCCTGCCCCCGAGATGCAGAAGAGCCTCCTGCTGGTGTCCCCGGCTTTCCAGCCCTGCGTCCAGGGCACAGCTCTGCTGAAGGGAAGGAAGTGGCCCAGCCATGGACCCCACGCTGGCACAGCAGTTCACCCAAAGCCCAGGCAGGCTGCGGAGCTGCTTCTGCCACCAGAGGCTCTGGTTGTCTGGGTCAGCCAGGCTGCCCTTCCCGAGGCCCCTCTGGGGCTTCTAGGGGCAGAGCCAGCCCAGGACAGCTTTATAGATGGTGAAGCGATCGAGTCCAACGCCGGCTTCTCCTGGCTGAGTCCCCGGCCACTGATCTCATTTGCAAGTGATTAACATTGAGCCCCAGTCAGTGATGAGAAGCTGTGGGAAGACCGCCTCGCCCGGGGTGTCTGTGCAGTAGCTGCACTGGAAAGCCGCTAATGCCAACTTAATGGCTGCGCCTTTGATAACCTGGGTTGTAGTTAACGTCAATGAGCAAATTGTGGTTTGACCCAGAAGGATGGTCTCGGGGGTGAGCACGGACTGACGCGGGACAGTTCCTCGAGGTTTGGCTGGCCCTCCTCCACCCGAGCACCTCGGGCCCAGCGGCCAGAGCAGGGCAGCGCCGCCTCGCCCCAGTCCTCTCCCGTCAGACCTGCTGGCGCAGGCCCCGCACACAGACTGGCAAAGCCGCCTGGCATGGGCTCCCTGTGGCCCCCACACCAGCACCATTCTTACCTCAGCGCCCATCCCTCTGTCTCCTTCCTCCAACCCACTGTTCCCCGTTATCCCAGTGTTGGGCCCACACAACTGTAGTCGCTTCTGGACGCCTGTTGGCTGTCTGTGTGGAGCTCTGCAGAGGGCCGGCCAGCACAACGGGCCGGCTGTGTTCTCTCCTATTCAGCGCTGTCCTGTGCAAGCTTAAGCTTCAGACCAAGCTCGGCTCAGGGTCAGGTGACCAGCCCAAGGCCAGTAAGCCCGTCACTGAGTTGAAGGTCCGGTCATCTCCCTGTGGACTTCCCACCGGAAGGTCCGGTCATCTCCCTGTGGACTTCCCACCGGAAGGTCCGGTCATCTCCCTGTGGACTTCCCACCGGAAGGTCCGGTCATCTCCCTGTGGACTTCCCACCGGGGGCCGTCATGGCATTCCCGGCCCAGCATGCGGTGTGCTGCACTGCCCTTCCCAGGTCAGCTGCCCCTCACCAGGCTGCGTTCCGTCTCTTCCCAGGCCTGCCCATGCAGATCCTGAAGCCCGCCACCTTCACAGACACCACGCACTACCCGCTGCTCCTTGTGGTGTAAGTACCGCTCTTCCTTCTCAGGTGCCCACTTTGGGATTCAGAGATACTGTGGAGAATGAGGCAAGGTAAGCGGGGCTGCGACGCTGTTCATACAGACCTAGCGCCGTGCGCTCACCGCCTGGCCTGACCTGACAGTGCTGCTCCTCGGCAGAGAACAGGCTCTGGGCCGGATGCTAGAGGTGCCGTGGTGACAGCGCTGCGGCTCCCCTTCCCCCCCAGCAGGCCCTGCTGTCTGCTTCCAGGACAGTGAGGGCAGACAGATGTCAGACACTGCCCAGAGAACTGACAACGTGGAGAAACCGCGAGGCAAGCTCGGGAGCGTAACAGGCAGGAGGCTGGCCTGGGCAGGCAGGAGGCAGGCCAGAGGCAGCCAGTGCCTCAGACACTGCCTGTGGCGGGCACCTTAGACGGCTGGCTCCTCACAGCAGGAACCCTGCGCGTCTCCAGAGACTGCCCTAAACCAGTTCTCGGCCAGCATGGTGTCAGGCCCTCCCTGCGTACTGAGCCGGCCTCGCGTGATGGTGAGGCTTACAAATGCCTGGGAGATGCGGGGTCTGGCTGGCCGCCTCAGTCTCAGCCCCGGTCCCCGTCGCCTGGAGCGGCCCCCTGCTGAGCCTGGGCTCCACACTCCGCTGGTGTAGGCTTCACTGCAAGGGGCTCCGTCTCACAATCATGCTTCCCTTAAGATTGCCAGTGAGCTGCCACACACACACACACAGACATGGGCACACACACACACAGATATGGACACACAGAGAGACACACATGGACGGACACACACAGACATGGATACACAGACAGACACACACAGACATAGACACACACAGACAGACACACAGACATAGACACACAGACACACAGACATAGACACACACAGACATGGGCACACACAGACATAGACACACACACACAGACATGTTCTCTCTATCTCTCTCCCTCTCCTTCCTTCTCCCTTCCTCACCTACTCTCTCCCTCCTCCCTCCCATCCTCTTCCTCCTCTCTTTCCCTCTCTTCCTTTCTCTCCCTCTCTCCCTCTCCCATCCTCTCCCCCCTCTCGCTCCTTCTCTTGCTCTCTCTCCCTCTCCCTTCCTCTCCCTCTCTCCCTCCTCCCTCACACTCCCTTCTCCCCCTCCCTCTCTCTCCCTCTCTTCCTCCCTCTCTCCTCACACTGCTTCCTTTCTCCCATACTAAGCCCAGTTCTCACCACGATCTAAAAGATGTTCCTGACATCACAAGCAGCGCCCCACCCCCACCCCCGGTGCCCTGGCCTTTCCTGGGATCTTAACGGGACCCTCCCCCTCCTCCCCCCCCCCCCACATCTCGTTGAAAGTTTCCTTCCCCTTCCGAAGCAGTCCTGGCAGAGCTCTGCAGCATTTGCAAAGAGCCAACACTGTGTGCAATGTCCCATGAGCAGGGACGGGATACTGATCAACCCAAAGGGCCCTCTGCCCCAGCAGGCCCGGGCCTGGCCTCCCGAGGGCCCGATGAAGGGTGTGTGCGGCCTGAGCGCCCTCTGCAGCCCTTTCCTGGGAAGGGTGGAGGCTCTTGAGGATCAAGCTGCTACCTCTTCTTTCTTAACGTGGGCACGCTCCAATCTGGCGCGGCCCCTGTGGGCATGGTTCTTATCACCATAATGAGATACATGCATGTCAGTCCTCAGCCAGCATTTGAGACACCACAGGACCGTCCCCCGGAGACGGGACCATCCCCGGTGGCGGGGTGGCCGTGTCTGTGAATAGACGCACACGCGGATGGTCAAGCCCCGTCTCTGGGAAGCATGCTGAAAGAAGCTTCCCGGAGGCTCCCAGTGCACAACGCTAGGTGCAGAGTCTTCTGAGAGCCGCCCCGTGCCACACATGCCTCTCCACCACCCCCCACGGAGGAGGAGGCCCCGGGTGGAGGCCTGGCCGCTTTCCCCCATAAACTCTCCACCAGTGATGCTCTGAAGCTACTGTGCAGTGTCTCTGAATGAGGAGGGAAGGGGGGGCAAAATGTCTCCCCGTGTCCCCGTGTCCCCTCGCCTACCCCCCACCCCCGGAGGAGGGCGGGAGGCCACTGTGCCGGCCTGTGTGCCGCTGCTTCAGATTAACCGAAACACAGAATTGTCCAGACCAGAGTGCTGCTGCAGCCGGCCGCATGCCGGCGCTTGGTTTCCAAGGCCAGGAAGACCGGGCTTGGGACTCACAGTAAAGGATTGGAGAGCTTTTCCGTAGTTTCCCGACCCGTGAAGAAACGTCGTCTGTGCCTGTCCAAGCAGTGCTGAGCTGGGGCCTGGCGCGTGCCCGGGGGCTCTGTGCACTCGGTCCCCACGGCCCAAGGGCTGTGGGAAAGGCCCACTCGCTCGGCCTGGGCTCTAGAGAGCCACAGGACGGGAGTCCCCGGAGCAGCGGCGGCCCACACGCTGAGGCCCGGCCCTCTTCTCCAGGGACGGCACTCCAGGCAGCCAGAGCGTGGCGGAGAAGTTCGAGGTGACCTGGGACACGGTGCTGGTGAGCAGCCACGGGGCGGTGGTGGTGAGGTGTGACGGCCGGGGCAGCGGCTTCCAAGGAACCAAGCTCCTGCACGAAGTGAGGCGGCGGCTGGGCGCGCTGGAGGAGCGGGACCAGGTGGAGGCCGTGCGGTGAGCAGCCCGGCAGGCCGGGGGGGGGGGGGGGTTCGCTGCCGGTGCAGATGTTGTGCGTGGAACTGGCTCACATCAGGTGGTGTCCAAAGCGAGGCGTGAGAGCGAGTCAGGAGAGCCCTCCTCCAAGCCTGTGCCTGGTCACCCGCGGCGAGGCGGTTTGTGTGTTGAGCTGGTCAGCGCGGGGCAGTGGCACGGGCACTGAGCCAGGTCCGCCTGCCTCGCCGAGGCCACCCGCCCTGACCCATGCCCACTCGCCTTTGCTATCCATCGTCACGGGGGGGGGGGGGCAGGCCATGAGGAAGGACAGAGGGACTGTGAGTGGGGGCAGGGGTGGGGCACGGGGCACCCCCATGCTGAGTAAGTGGGGGCCAGACCTCACACGCACTACTGAGGACGGGAAGAGCCAGGGCAAAGGACCGGGCGCTCAGAACCATTGATGAAGTTGATTGTTGTCCTGGACAAGACAAAGAGCCTGAGGGCTGTGTGCCGGGCTACAGCTGGCCCCAGTCCGGCCTTCTTTAGGATCTGGCCTGTGGTTTCACCACTGAGGAAGAAGGATGCAGGGCCACCGGGAGGCTAGACATGACAGTCACTCTGTCACCATGACTTCCGGAAGGCCACTGGTCCCCACAGCCCCTCCCATCGCCGTCCACCCGATGCTGTCCTCCCGCAGCCCCGGGCCCCCGTCCATGACCAGCGGACAGAAGAGTTCTCCGTGCGGGGCACGAGACCGTGACAAGAGCCGCATGTGGACAGGGTGGACAGAAGGGAACGACCCAGCCCGGAAAGGCCATGGAGAGGACAGGGCCGGGGCCAGCGTGGAAGGCAGGGCAGGGGCTTTCCAGACAGAAAATGGGAGGTGCAGTCCCAGCTACATCACGTGAACGCAGGCAGGGGTGAGGCCCAGCCAGACACACAGAGGCGGGAGGCGGGAGGCAGGAACAGGCAGGGGTGACGAGGAGGTGGCCGGTGCATGCAGTCAGACAACCGTCAGAGAGGGCAGGCAGCGCTCGGCGGCGCGGCACTGTGTCCCAGTGGGTGTGAAGGCTGCCACGGCTGAACCCGGGTCCTTGGCAGGCTGGCTGGTGCAAGAACGGGCCCTCCAGGGCCTAGGGCTCTACGCCCTGTCTGTCTAGAATGGACATGCGATAAAAGTGAGGCCAACCAGCGAGCAGAACTACAGGAAAACAGGAAGTGGGGAGAAACGGGAGCCCCAGGGAAGCCGGCCCGCAGGAGGCTCCGAGGATGGGGCGCACACAGAAGTAGCCGCATCGCCGTGGCAAGCCTGCAGAAGGCAGGACCCAGCCACGCCAGCCCGGACAGAGGCTGGCCATGCCCAAGGCACAGACCGGGCAGGACCTCGGGGGAAGAGCAAGTCCGCATGCTGTAGGTGTAAGGCTCCTACAACAGGACCCAGGGGCTGAGGACTGGACGGGGCCAGGGAGCCCAGCCGCCCACCCCGCCCCGCCAAGCAGCTCAGAACCGGAGCTCTGACTCCCCAGAGCCACTCGGGTTCCAGGAGGGGCCCACAGCAGTGGGTTTCCTACCGCCAGGGGTGCCTGCTGCTGGGCAGCTTCATACACCTGGAAGGTCTCACACACTCACACACACACACAGGCTCAGGCGTGGCAAAGGTGGTTGAGTTTTATAATCCCAGGGTGCACTGTCATTTAAAGAGAGGTGCTGGCAGAGCTGTGGTCCCTGGGGTACCAAGCACATCCACACCAGCACTGAACCCTGTGTCTCCCCCGCCCCCACCGCCTTGCAGGACCATGCTGAAGGAGACGTACATCGACAAGACGCGGGTGGCTGTGTTTGGGAAGGTGAGTCTGGCCGTCTTCTGTCTGATCTGTGGGATGAGTGCAGCTACAGGACCTCCAGGCTCCAGCTGGGGCTTGAGGCCACGTGGGAGAGGGCCTGGGTGGGGGAGTGAGATGCAGGGGGCTCGTAGAGGCTTCGGTCCCGTTGGCTGACACACAGCTGACCCTCATTGGGTGACCTGGGAGCAATGGCCGGAGCTCCGTGGCAGCCCCGGCCCCCACCTGTACCTGTGGTCACGCACTGTCCCCTGGTTCTCTGATTGTACCGCTGTCTCCCACCAAAATGTACCCCTCCGTGTGCCCTCTGCCCTGTCGCCTTGGCCGTCCTCGGGGCCTGCAGCCCCTCTGCCTGCCCTGGCAGCCCTGAGGGCCCGGCACGGGCTGCTGTCGTGCTAGCCGGGACACGCTCTGAGGTGGGCTCTTCCTGCCAGCCCCAGTCATCAGCACCTGCCGTGAGGCCTCACCCCTCCGCCCGGCACACAGGACAGTCACGTGCAGACCTGGTCAGAGATCACCCATGCTGCCCGGGTGTTCTCTCTGGACCACTCAGGTTGCATACAGGGACTGGCCTTGCCTGCAGACATCTGCGTGCATGCTTACACTCATGCTGTCTTCACCGGAAGCTGGAAGGCAGGTGGGAGAGAGGCTGTGCAGCACGCTGGATTGGGATGCTGGATCGGCCAGCCTCCTGCCGGCCGCGTGTTTCCAGCCATCACCTGTCTTCATCGGTCCCTTCATCGCACTCGCTCAGCAGGAAGCATCTCATCACCAATCCTGGGCGCGGACGTGTTTGCTTTGCACCTCCTCTAACTGAGCTGAACACACTTTTAAAGTTAAAATTTAGGAAAAAGAGACCCCGTGAGCACGTTTGCATAAGTCCCTGGCTGGGTCCAAGGCTGGTCTTGTGATCTGTTGTGGCCTCTCTTCTTTCTCTCAACGTTCCAGGATTACGGTGGCTACCTGAGCACCTACATTCTCCCGGCCAAGGGCGAGCACCAGGGCCAGCTGTTCACCTGCGGTGCTGCCGTCTCTCCCATCACAGACTTCCACCTCTACGGTAAGGCCCCAAGGACACCCACAGCATGCCCGCCCCACGGCCTTCTCCTGCGGAAGGAAGGGTCCTTCGTTCTGAGTGAAAATGCTCATTTCTGCAGGCCATGTGGTCAGCTCACAAGGCCACCCGTCCGTGGCCCTTCCCCCCCAGGACCGCCTTTCCTCTGCTGCCAGCGTGTTCTTGGTGGGCCTCTGAGAAGGGAGAAGGGCTGGGTGGTAAAGACTTCTAAGAGGTGTGGATTCTGCATCTTCCACACTCCCACACCCAGCACACACACATGCACGCGCACACAGTGCATTCCCAGCCATTCATCCGCACACTCACGCTCATCTGCTACCAGACGACAATTCAACAGAGGTCAAAGCAAGCTCCCCCTCCTCCCTGGCCAAGGCCTGTGCCAAGTGCCAGAGCGGGGTCCGTGTTGTTGGGGTCCAGCCCGGACAGAGGGGAGGCCACTCGGGGGTGGGAGACAGCTTCCTGCCTGGGTGACTGAGCTTGCGAGTTCCTCCTGCCAGCCCCGTTTTCTGGTTGGGCATGGTTTGGGGACACACACACCATGTGGGGTGTTTTGGATTTTTGTGCACGGAGGTCTTTTCTGTGGCTCTGGGAGTGTGTGTATGGGCAGGGCGGCCGGGCACCCGGGGTGGAGGCCTGAGCCTCGAGGTGTGTGTGGAGGGCATTGCGTGTGCTCTGCGGAGCCTGCAGGGGTCTGGTTCTAACTTTGGCTTCCCACAGCCCATCACTCATGCCGTGGGCCCCATGGGGCAATCCAGGTCCCCCTCGCTCCAGCCTCACGACAGCTCCTCCTCACAGGTGCTCTTTCTAGGGCAAATGTCCACGTACACTTCTATAAGACTGCTCCTGGGTCAGCATCCGGATAAGAGTAATTTTCCAGCCAGGCGCCCATGGCTCATTCCTGTCATCACAGGTGCTCAGGAGGCTGAGATTGGAGCCAGCCCAGGCAGAAAAGTCTGAAAGAATCTATCTCCAATTAACCAGCACAAGGCTGGCTCAATGGTAGAGCACTAGGCTTGAGCAGAAACGCTAAGCAAGAGCAAGAGGCCCTGAGTTCAGACACCCCAGTACCAGCACACACATGCACACATGCGCGCACACACGCACACACACACACACACGCCAAGAAAATCGAATGGGAATTGTTAGGAAGAGGCTGTCCCGTTCATTCGGCTGCTCATCCACCAGGCTCCGAATGTCCCCCATTTTGCTGTAATGATAGAGCGCCCTGGCGAGGAAGGTCCCAAGCCCCTCCCCGGCGCATGGGCTGCCCCTGTGCTGCCCGAGGATGGGCACTGACCTCCCGTTTCTGTGCAGCGTCGGCGTTCTCCGAGCGCTACCTGGGCCTCCACGGACTCGACAACAGGGCCTATGAGGTAGGTGGGGCGCAGCTGCATGCGCGGGAGTCGCTCCTCCTCCCCTTCCCTGCCCCCTCCGCCCACCCTCCCCCCCAGACACTGCGCCTCGGGGCCAGGGCCTCTGTGACTCCCCCATCAGAGCCCAGCCTAGGGAACCCCAACGCCGCCCTCTGACCACGCGTGAGCAGTGTGTGTGTGTGTGTGTGCACATGTGTGTGTGGCCTCCTGCTGTCGCGGTACAGACCATGCATGAGCTGTGTGTGCACACATGTGTGTGCGTGTGTGTGCACGTGTGTTGCGTGCATATGTGTGGCCTCCTTCCGCTGCCACAATGCAGACCATGCATGAGCTGTGTGTGCACACATGTGCGTGTGTGTGTGTGCACATGTGTGGCGTGCATGTGTGTGCACATGTGCATATGTGTGGCCTCCTTCCGCTGCCACAATGCAGACCATGCATGAGCTGTGTGTGTGTGTGTGTGTGCACATGTGCATGTGTGGCCTCCTTCCGCTGCCCCAGTACAGACCACGCATGAGTTGTGTGTGTGTGTGCATATATATGTGCGTACACACGTTCATGTGTGGCCTCCTTCAGCTGCCGTGATGCAGACCACATGTGAGCTGTGTGCATGTATGTGCACGTGCGTGTGGCCTTCCGCTGCTGTGATGAAGACCACGCATGAGTTGTGTGTGCATGTGTGTGCGTGTGTGCATGCATGTGTACATGTGTGGCCTCCTTCCACTGCTGCGATGCATGAGCTGTGTGTGTGCATGTACGTGGCCTCCTTCAGCTGCTGAGATGCAGACCACACGTGAGCTGTGTGTGTGTGTGCACGTGCGTGTGTGTGGCCTCTTTTAACTGCTGTGATGTAGACCAAACGTAAGCTGTGTATGTGTGTGTGCGTGTGTGTGTGCGAGTGCATGGCTTCCTTCCACTGCCATGATGCAGACCACGCATGAGCTCTGTGTGTGTGTGTACATATGCGTGTATGTGGCCTCCTGCTGCTGCCAAGATGCAGACCACGCGTGAGCTGTGTGTGTGTGTGCATGTGCGTGGCCTCCTTCCGCTGCTGAGATGCAAGCCCAAGACCCGTGTGAGGGAGGGGGAAGGCTGAGAGTGTGCTGGGAGGGGCGTGATGGCATCGTGCCAGGCCGGCCCGCCTGCCCGCTCCCTGCCCCTGGGGCTGTGGTCCTTTGGGAGGGAGACCTGTGATGGAGAGTGCTCCACCCCTGCACACTGAATGTCCCTAACCAGGCGGGGTGTCACACAGGGTCATGTGGGTGTCACAGGGTCATGTGGGTGTCACAGGGTCATGTGGATGTCACACAGGGTCATGTGGGTGTCACAGGGTCATGTGGGTGTCACACAGGGTCATGTGGGTGTCACAGGGTCATGTGGGTGTCACACAGGGTCATGTGAGTGTCACACAGGGTCATGTGGGTGTCACACAGGGTCATGTGGGTGTCACAGGGTCATGTGGGTGTCACAGGGCCATGTGGGTGTCACAGGGACATGTGGGTGTCACAGGGTCATGTGAGTGTCACAGGGTCATGTGGGTGTCACAGGGTCATGTGGGTGTCACACAGGGTCATGTGGGTGTCACAGGGTCATGCGGGTGTCACACAGGGTCATGTGGGTGTCACAGGGTCATGTAGGTGTCACACAGGGTCATGTGGGTGTCACAGGGTCATGTGGGTGTCACACAGGGTCATGTGGGTGTCACAGGGCCATGTGGGTGTCACAGGGTCATGTGGGTGTCACAGGGTCATGTGGGTGTCACACAGGGTCATGTGGGTGTCACAGGGTCATGCGGGTGTCACACAGGGTCATGTGGGTGTCACACAGGGTCATGTGGGTGTCACACAGGGTCATGTGGGTGTCACAGGGTCATGTGGATGTCACACAGGGTCATGTGGGTGTCACACAGGGTCATGTGGGTGTCACAGGGTCATGCGGGTGTCACAGGGTCATGCGGGTGTCACACAGGGTCATGTGGGTGTCACACAGGGTCATGTGGGTGTCACAGGGTCATGTGGGTGTCACACAGGGTCATGTGGGTGTCACACAGGGTCATGCGGGTGTCACAGGGTCATGCGGGTGTCACACAGGGTCATGTGGGTGTCACAGGGTCATGTAGGTGTCACACAGGGTCATGTGGGTGTCACAGGGTCATGTGGGTGTCACAGGGTCATGTGGGTGTCACAGGGTCATGTAGGTGTCACAGGGTCATGTGGGTGTCACAGGGTCATGTGGGTGTCACAGGGTCATGTGGGTGTCACACAGGGTCATGTGGGTGTCACACAGGGTCATGTGGGTGTCACAGGGTCATGTGGGTGTCACACAGGGTCATGTGGGTGTCACAGGGTCATGCGGGTGTCACACAGGGTCATGTGGGTGTCACACAGGGTCATGTGGGTGTCACAGGGTCATGTGGGTGTCACAGGGTCATGTGCGTGTCACACAGGGTCATGCGGGTGTCACACAGGGTCATGTGGGTGTCACACAGGGTCATGTGGGTGTCACATACGGTCATGTGGGTGTCACACAGGGTCATGTGGGTGTCACACAGGGCCATGTGGGTGTCACAGGGTCATGTGGGTGTCACACAGGGTCATGTAGGTGTCACAGGGTCATGTGGGTGTCACAGGGTCATGTGGGTGTCACACAGGGTCATGTGGGTGTCACACAGGGCCATGTGGGTGTCACAGGGTCATGTGGGTGTCACAGTGTCATGTGGGTGTCACACAGGGCCATGTGGGTGTCACACAGGGTCATGTGGGTGTCACACAGGGTCATGTGGGTGTCACAGGGTCATGTGGGTGTCGACACACACAGGGTCATGTGGGTGTCACACAGGGTCATGTGGGTGTCACAGGGTCATGTGGGTGTCACACAGGGCCCTGTGGGTGTCACACAGGGCCATGTGGGTGTCACACAGGGTCATGTGGGTGTCACACAGGGTCCTGTGGGTGTCACACAGGGCCATGTGGGTGTCACAGGGTCATGTGGGTGTCACAGGATCATGTGGGTGTCACAGGGTCATGTGGGTGTCACATACGGTCATGTGGGTGTCACACAGGGTCATGTGGGTGTCACAGGGTCATGTGGGTGTCACAGGGTCATGTGGGTGTCACACAGGGCCATGTGGGTGTCACACAGGGCCATGTGGGTGTCACACAGGATCATGTGGGTGTCACAGGGTCATGTGGGTGTCACAGGGTCATGTGGGTGTCACACAGGGTCATGTGGGTGTCACAGGGTCATGTGGGTGTCACACAGGGTCATGTGGGTGTCACAGGGCCATGTGGGTGTCACACAGGGCCATGTGGGTGTCACAGGGTCATGTGGGTGTCACAGGGTCATGTGGGTGTCACACAGGGTCATGTGGGTGTCACACAGGGTCATGTGGGTGTCACATACGGTCATGTGGGTGTCACAGGGTCATGTGGGTGTCACACAGGGTCATGTGGGTGTCACACAGGGTCATGTGGGTGTCACAGGGTCATGTGGGTGTCACACAGGATCATGTGGGTGTCACAGGGTCATGTGGGTGTCACACAGGGCCATGTGGGTGTCACACAGGGTCATGTGGGTGTCACATACGGTCATATGGGTGTCACACAGGGTCATGTGGGTGTCACAGGGTCATGTGGGTGTCACACAGGGCCATGTGGGTGTCACAGGGTCATGTGGGTGTCACACAGGGCCATGTGGGTGTCACAGGGCCATGTGGGTGTCACAGGGTCATGTGGGTGTCACACAGGGTCATGTGGGTGTCACAGGGTCATGTGGATGTCACACAGGGTCATGTGGGTGTCACACAGGGCCATGTGGGTGTCACACAGGGTCATGTGGGTGTCACACAGGGTCATGTGGGTGTCACATACGGTCATGTGGGTGTCACACAGGGTCATGTGGGTGTCACAGGGTCAAGTGGGTGTCACACAGGGTCATGTGGGTGTCACACAGGGTTATGTGGGTGTCACACAGGGTCATGTGGGTGTCACACAGGATCATGTGGGTGTCACAGGGTCATGTGGGTGTCACAGGGCCATGTGGGTGTCACACAGGGTCATGTGGGTGTCACAGGGTCATGTGGGTGTCACACAGGATCATGTGGGTGTCACAGGGTCATGTGGGTGTCACAGGGTCATGTGGGTGTCACAGGGTCATGTGGGTGTCACACAGGGTCATGTGGGTGTCACACAGGATCATGTGGGTGTCACACAGGGTCATGTGGGTGTCACAGGGTCATGTGGGTGTCACACAGGATCATGTGGGTGTCACAGGGTCATGTGGGTGTCACAGGGTCATGTGGTTGTCACAGGGTCATGTGGGTGTCACACAGGGCCATGTGGGTGTCACACAGGGTCATGTGGGTGTCACATACGGTCATATGGGTGTCACACAGGGTCATGTGGGTGTCACAGGGTCATGTGGGTGTCACACAGGGCCATGTGGGTGTCACAGGGTCATGTGGGTGTCACACAGGGTCATGTGGGTGTCACAGGGTCATGTGGGTGTCACACAGGGTCATGTGGGTGTCACACAGGGTCATGTGGGTGTCACACAGGGTCATGTGGGTGTCACACAGGGCCATGTGGGTGTCACAGGGTCATGTGGGTGTCACACAGGATCATGTGGGTGTCACACAGGGTCATGTGGGTGTCACACAGGGCCATGTGGGTGTCACAGGGCCATGTGGGTGTCACACAGGGTCATGTGGGTGTCACACAGGGTCATGTGGGTGTCACATACGGTCATGTGGGTGTCACACAGGGTTATGTGGGTGTCACACAGGGTCATGTGGGTGTCACACAGGATCATGTGGGTGTCACAGGGTCATGTGGGTGTCACAGGGCCATGTGGGTGTCACACAGGGTCATGTGGGTGTCACAGGGTCATGTGGGTGTCACACAGGATCATGTGGGTGTCACAGGGTCATGTGGGTGTCACACAGGATCATGTGGGTGTCACAGGGTCATGTGGGTGTCACAGGGTCATGTGGGTGTCACACAGGGTCATGTGGGTGTCACACAGGGCCATGTGGGTGTCACACAGGATCATGTGGGTGTCACAGGGTCATGTGGGTGTCACACAGGGTCATGTGGGTGTCACACGGCCATGTGGGTGTCACAGGGTCATGTGGGTGTCACACAGGGTCATGTGGGTGTCACATACGGTCATGTGGGTGTCACACAGGGTCATGTGGGTGTCACAGGGCCATGTGGGTGTCATGTCACAGGGCCATGTGGGTGTCACAGGGTCATGTGGGTGTCACATACGGTCATGTGGGTGTCACACAGGGTCATGTGGGTGTCACAGGGTCATGTGGGTGTCACACAGGGTCATGTGGGTGTCACACAGGGTCATGTGGGTGTCACACAGGGTCATGTGGGTGTCACAGGGCCATGTGGGTGTCACAGGGCCATGTGGGTGTCACAGGGTCATGTGGGTGTCACAGGGTCATGTGGGTGTCACACAGGGTCATGAGGGTGTCACAGGGTCATGTGGGTGTCACACAGGGTCATGTGGGTGTCACAGGGTCATGTGGGTGTCACAGGGTCATGTGGGTGTCACACAGGGTCATGTGGGTGTCACACAGGGCCATGTGGGTGTCACAGGGTCATTGGGTGTCACAGGGTCATTGGGTGTCACACAGGGTCATGTGGGTGTCACACAGGGTCATGTGGGTGTCACATACGGTCATGTGGGTGTCACATACGGTCATGTGGGTGTCACACTCGGCAGGGGGTGGTCACACAGGGCTGGGGGCGGGGTGTGTGTGTGTCAGGTTTTAATGTGACACCAGCTCCCTGACCTCCACTAACCGTGTCCCCTGGTGGCTGCCCATGCAGATGACCAAGGTGGCCCACCGAGTGTCAGCACTGGAGGGACAGCAGTTCCTGCTCATCCACGCCACGGCCGATGGTGAGGACCAGGCCCCGTCCACCGGCTGGTGACGCCCGGGGAGAGCGCTACGTGTTTGCACAAACACTTGCCTGTTTTCTTCTTACAGAAAAAATCCATTTCCAGCACACGGCAGAGCTCATTACAGAGCTAATCAAGGGAAAGGCCAATTACAGCTTACAGGTACGGAATGCTTGTCTGTGTGGAGCAGGAGAACTGTGGGGAAGGACTGTGAGGTCCAGCGTGTGCCCAGTCAGCTGACACTCCGCAGGCCCTCACACACGGCCTGCTTTTCCTCTAACCGATGCCATCTTAGCTCTACCCTAAGCCGCGGCTAAACGCCCGCCCGCTGTCCCACAGGCTCCTCTTCGCAGCGAGCAAGGCTGAGTCGGCCCTGCACACCCGCGTGGGCCGCAGTGGGGAGAGGGCAGGCCCCGGGCCTTCTCTGCTGGCTGTCCCTGGACACTGCCAGGGTGTTGCAGCACCCTGTGGCTAGGGCAGGACAGCTGTCCGTCCGCCTTCTGAGACCTGCGCTCGCCGCTTCAACTGCTGACTCCTGCCAGCGTGCACAGGGCCGATCCTAGAAACTGCCTCCTGTCCTGCTCGTCCTTGGGCCCTGTCGTTTGGGGTCCAGCAGCCTGGCTGCCCAGCCCAGACCTCCACCTGCCCTGTCTCTGGAGTCACCCCCTGGAGTCAGGGAGGGCTGAGGCTCAGGAGAGCACTGGGAGGAGGGGAGTGAGGACTGGCGAGTGAGGTGGAAGGATGCAGATCAGTGAACTGGACTGTACACCTGTCACCCAGGGTTGAACCCTGGGAGGTTGAAAGTCATTTCTGTGCTGGCCCTGAGGCCCCGGGACACCACCAGGGCTGACAGGCTGCATCCCCACGCTACCTGGGCCGAATCCACGCAAAGGGCCCCTGGGGCCCTGTGCTCAGGTTCAGCCCGTCCTGACGGATGCACGAGTCCATCGCTCTGCCCAGCTTCAGCCGAGTGCAGGGCCAGGGTCGAAGGCAGGGGCCTGGTGCCTCCCTTCCTGTGTACAGTTTGCTCTCCTAGCAAATATGCATGAACTCACCTAATGGCGTCATGTATAGAATAAAGTCGGATGCTGCCCTGCAAGACACCAGGGGTAGATGAGGTTCAAAATGCAGGGCGCAGTATGGGCTTCTGGGAGAGACTTGTACAGGATTGGCACAGCGGCCCGAGAGACCCTGGCCAACAGAGCAAGCCTCAGGCCCCTCCCACACCCTAGGCCTTGCTCTAAACCCTTCTCACAGACATAATGAGCCCGGCTCTTTTACAGCTGTGACTCCTGACCCCACAGCCAGGCAGGGTAAGCATAGCAGAGCCAAGTACAAAGACACACAGCAGCAGGACGCCCGTTAGAGGGGCTTGCCCGTGCCCGGAGTGCATGGAGAGCACTCCGTGTGTGTCTAGGTGTGTGATATGTGTGTGGTGTGTGTCTCTGGACATGCATGTGTGTCCATGTGTATTGTGTGTGGTATATGTGATGTATGGTTGTGTTGGTTGTGTATCTGTGTGTGTGTGTGTGTGTGTGTGTGTGTGTGTGTGTGTATCCCCTGACTTAGCTGTGTGGCCCCTGAGCGTGTGTCCAGGTTGCAAATCCAGGCGAGCAGTCTGACTCCAAAGACTGCCGAAAAAGTGTTTTCTGACTTTTTCAACCAGTTCTGGCCTGGTGCCCACGGCCTCTGGCAAACGCAAGGCACTGCAAGGCAGAGGTGCCGGGGAGGTCAGCTGGCCTTCGTGACCTCCTCGGGAGCACCCCTGTGCCGCCAGGCACGCTCCGCTGTCTGGGCCCATGGGCGGAGCTCCTGGGCCTACGTTTGCATGGGGGCTGCGGCGGGCAGGAAATGTCCGGCTGTGTGCACAGAGCGCCCAGGTGCCCCAGCGGTGTCCCCCGTCCCTCGGGAGGGGTCACTGCCGCTGCCTTCCCCACAGATCTACCCCGACGAGGGCCACTACTTCCACAGCACCGCCCTCCAGCAGCACCTGAACCGGGCCATCATCAACTTCTTCGTGGAGTGCTTCAGGATCCAGGACCAGCTACCCACAGCCACAGCGAAAGAGGAGGAAGAAGAGGACTAAGCACACGTCTGCCCTGCGCGCGCTCACACACACACACACACGTGCAACTGAGACCTCTCCCCGGGGCCTGAGGGCGGCCAGGCCGAGGGGACGAAGGTCGGTTGCACGTGTCTCTCCTGACCGCCCGCAGCCCGGACACCCGCCCCAGCAGCCTCACCTCCCCCTGGCCCCCAGAGACTGGCACGTCCCACGTCCACCCCCCAGAGGGACAAAGCGAAGGACAGATGGCAGCGAGGCCCCAGGAAAACTGGCCCCTAAACTCACGCTTCCACTCAGCAGCCCCGCGGCCCTCTGTGAGCGGTGTCCACGCCGCCCCCCCACCCCCACCGCCACAGCCAGGCCTCGAAACAGCACGGCCCAGGACGCGCTCACCGACGCCCGGCCGCGTTCCACAGCGCGCCCCACATCTGCCCAGACAAGAGCCGCTCCTCCTCAGTGCTGCTGCCGCTGTGCGCTCGCGCGTTAACCGCGGAAGGATCGGGTGTTTCTCTGTGGCGTTAGCCGCGCGCGGGGGGCTGAGGCGCTGCTCCCTCGTTGCGTTTCTTCCCCTTCTTTACTTTCCTTTGGCCGCTGCATCCGCCTCCGGGGAGCGGAGGGGAAGCGCGCTCCGCGCCGTGGTCGCTGGTGCGGGCGCTGCAGCCGCTGAGGGAGAACGCGCAGGATCGAGGAGCCCAAAATCCGTCCGTCCCCCCGCACTGGGGGGTGGCCGTCGGTCCGTCCTGTCCTGCCCCGCCCGCGTCCTCCCTGACAGGTCACCGGGCCCTGTCACAGGACGTTTGTTTGGGAATCACCAGCTGGCGAGGCGTGGGGGGTCGGAAGGGAAGTGCGGGAGCGGCCGCCCCAGCCCCGGGGCGGAGGCCTGGCGCGGCTCCCCGTGGACCGTGTAAGATACGCGCTGGCGGCACCGCCGCGGCCCCGTGTACATTTCATTTCGCTGTATATAACGAGGATCGTGCGTCGGGCGCGCGCCGCGCCACGCGTGCATGCGGACGCGCTCGGCCCGGGCGCCCAGCCGGCCGGGGTGGACAGACGGCCGCGGGCATCCATGTCCCTTGGCGCTGGTCCGGCCCCGCGGAGCGTCCTCGACGTCCCGTCTGCCGCGTCTCGGTGGGGTGTCAGTTCTCGTGAGGCCCGTGGGAAGATCCCATCACGGGATCCTGAAGGGCGCGCGCCGCCGTTGGCGTCGCGGCTGGCGGCGAGGGCCCGCGGCCCGCCCGCTCGGCCCGGGCCTCCGCCCAAGGGAGACGGCGTGGCATGGTAGTGTTTGTTCGTCCATGGAATAAAACATTATTTTACCACTCGCATCGCTCTTTCCTTGCTTCGCCGCCGCCGCCCCCCTCAGCAGGCAGAGCCAGGAGTGGGCGTAGAGCGGTCCCTGGCGGTGCGTTCCCTGTCCCCAGCCCAAGCCAGGGCCTGCAAAGCCTGCTTGACGGCGTCGGGTAAAACAGCCTGGGGACGGTTCGCAGAGGGGGCGCCGCACCGCGCCACCGCACCGCGCCACCGCACCGCACCGCGCAGCACCGCGCCACTGCACCACCGCGCCACCGCACCACCGCACCGCACAGCACCGCGCCACCACACCACCGCACCGCACAGCACCGCGCCACCGCACCACCGCGCCGCACAGCACCGCGCCACCGCGCCACCACACCACCGCGCCGCACAGCACTGCGCCACCGCACCGCACAGCACCGCACCACCGCACCACCGCGCCGCACAGCACCGCGCCACCGCACAGCACCGCACAGCACCGCGCCACCGCACCACCGCACCGCACAGCACCGCGCCACCGCACCACCGCACCGCACAGCACCGCGCCACCGCACCACCGCACCGCACAGCACCGCGCCACCGCACCACCGCGCCACCGCACCGCACAGGACCGCGCCACCGCACCGCACAGGACCGCGCCACCGCACCGCGCCACCGCACCACACCGCACCACCGCACCGCACCGCGCCACCGCACCGCACCGCACCGCACCACCGCACCACACCACCGCGCCACCGCACCGCACCACCGCACCGCACCGCGCCACCGCACCGCACCGCGCCACCGCACCGCACCGCGCCACCGCACCGCACCACCGCACCGCACCGCACCACCGCACCGCACCGCACCGCGCCACCGCACCGCACCGCGCCACCGCACCGCACCGCACCGCACCACCGCACCACACCGCGCCACCGCACCGCACCACCGCGCCACCGCACCGCACTACCGCGCCACCGCACAGCACCGCGCCACCACACCGCGCCACCGCGCCGCACCACCGCGCCACCGCGCCGCGCCACCGCACCGCACCACCGCGCCACCGCACCGCGGCCGGTCAGAAAAGGAGTCAGTGCGTCTCCCCCACTGCCACCCTCCGCCCCGGCGCGGACCCTCTGCCCACCTCGCCCCGACGCGGCCCCTCTGCCCACCTCGCCCCGGCGCGGCCCCTCTGCCCACCTCGCCCCGGCGCGGCCCCTCTGCCCACCTCGCCCCGGCGCGGCCCCTCTGCCCACCTCGCGCTGGCATCTCCTCTGCCCACCTCGCGCTGGCATCTCCCCTGCCCACCTCGCCCCGGCGTCTCCCCTGCCCACCTCGCCCCGGCATCTCCTCTGCCCACCTCGCGCTGGCGTCTCTGCCCACCTCGCCCCGGCGTCTCCCCTGCCCACCTCGCCCTGGCATCTCCTCTGCCCACCTCGCCCTGGCATCTCCTCTGCCCACCTCGCGCTGGCGTCTCCTCTGCCCACCTCGCCCTGGCATCTCCTCTGCCCACCTCGCCCCGGCGCAGCCCCTCTGCCCACCTCGCCCCGGCGCGGCCCCTCTGCCCACCTTGCCCCGGCACGGCCCCTCTGCCCACCTCGCCCTGGCATCTCCTCTGCCCACCTCGCGCTGGCGTCTCCTCTGCCCACCTCGCGCTGGCGAGATCTCCTCTGCCCACCTCGCACTGGCATCTCCTCTCTGCCGTCGTGAGGAGACACCTTAGGCTGGGCAGCGTAAATCAGCGGCATTATGGCAGGGGGCAGGGGGGAGGGGGGAATCGTCCTGGGGTGCTCACGGTGAGGGAGGGAGAATGTTCTGTTTTGCTTGCTTCTCCTCCTCCTCCTCCTCCTCCTCCTCCTCCTCCTCCTCTTCCTCCTGCTCCTCCTCCTCTTTCTCTTACTCTTTCTCCTCCTCTTCTTTCTCCTCCTCCTCTTTCTCCTCCTCCTCCTCCTCCTCCTCCTCCTCCTCCTCCTCTTCCTCCTGCTCCTCCTCCTCTTTCTTTTACTCTTTCTCCTCCTCTTCTTTCTCCTCCTCCTCTCCTCCTCCTCTTTCTCCTCCTCCTCCTCTTTCTCCTCCTCCTTCTCTTTCTCCTCCACCTCCTCCTGCTGTTCCTCCTCCTTTCTGCTTCTGCTTCTTTTTTTGCAGTGTTGGCAATCAACGTGCCAGTGCTCTGCCCCCAGCCTCCACCTGGGCCTGATGTCTCTGTAGGAGACACCAGTCTCAGTGTGAGGACCCCTAACCCTAATCACACCCCAAAGGCCCCGTGGGGGAGGGGTGGGCACAGAGGGCCTCAGCTTGTTCTCATACACAGAGAGGAAGTGAGCATTCTCCACTCTCTTTGCTGGTGCAGGGAGGAGGGGGGGGAGTGGCTTAGAAGGTCAGGAAGGGGCGGGCTCGGGGAAGCTGGTCCTGAGCGGGTGCTGCATCCCAAATGTCCACTCACCATCTGAAGCCAGCCGCCCAGCGGGGCGCCCCGAGCCCAGACAAGAAAGCCCCCCCAAATGAGCCAAGTGGGCGGCTGCACCCACGGCCCTCCCGCCCTGTTGCTGCGTGCCTCCGTCCACGCGCTGCAGCGCAGGTGTCCAGGCAGGAGCTGGACTGCGTGTTGTCCCGGCCTGGGGAGGGAGGAAGGAGGCTCTCCCCACCGTGGCCAGCCCAGGGGCCTGGGGGAGGTCCGGGGTCTCCACTTGGCATCCTGGGGTCTGGGGGGCCCTGAGCTGAGTGGAGAGTGGACATCACACACCCAGGAGTGGGTGTGGACGCGGGACTGAGCCAAGTCTGGAAGCAAGCGTGACCCCCAGCAAGCCCGGCAGAGGTCGCGGAGGGCACGAGGCGGGGGAGGAGGCGGGGAAGGATGGCTGTGCCAGCCACAGCTAGGGAGCGAAACCTGTCCCCGGGGCAGAGCCAAGAGACGGGGAAGAGGAAGCAATAAGAAGGTTTGAGAAAAGAGGCTGGGTGCTGGTGGCTCACGCCTGTCAGCCTAGCTACTCAGGAGGCTGAGATCTGAGGATCTCGGTTCAAAGCCAGCCTGGGCAGGAAAGTCTGTGAGACTCATCTCCAGTGAACCACCAGAAAACTGGAAGTGGCGCTGTGGCTCAAGTGGTAGAGCGCTCGCCTTGAGCTGAAGAGCTGAAGGACAGCGCCCAGGCCCAGAGGTCACACCCCATGGCTGACAAAAAAGGAAGAAAGCAAGGTTACCGAGGTCTCTCCCTGGTGGGGCTGGCAAGGCTCTTGGGGGATAGAGCTTCGTGCCTGGGCGTTCTGAGCCGGCCTGGGTCACAGCAGAGGAGAGGATCTGGCGAGAGCTGGCCGGCGTGCCCTTGGCAGTTCCTTCTTCCATACACGTTTCTTGAAATCCTATCTTACACCTGCTAGAATTTTTAGTATGTTATTAATATTACATTTTTAATTTTTTTTAATTTTTATGGTCTCGCAAATTAGATGCCCAACCTCCCAAACTTCCGGTGCACTCACTCCCCTTATTGGAGATAGTATTTCGCATTTTCTTAGATTGAACATTATTATTATTATTAATTATTATTATTGGGGGAAGGCAGGACTGGGGTTGGGATTCAGGGCCTGACACTCAGCAGGTAGGTGCTCTACCATTTGATTCACACCCTGGCCAAATGGCCTCCTTGGTCACCAACTCTCCCCCTGCTCCCGGCTCCCCCCAGTGGCCGGCCCTGGTCACAGCAAGTGTCCTGTGATGGCTCTGCTCAGAGGGCCATAGCTTCTGTGGGTCCCTGATCTCCCCACTCTCCCTGCCCCCCCTCCCGCCTCCCGCCCCTGAGCTGCACCACACGTCAGATGCCGGGTCCTCAGAACAGAGTACACGTTCGTTAAGATGCTGCAGTAGGCGACAGTGATTCCTGTTTACCTCTGAGTCTCTAATGCGGCGCACCTCGCCTGCCTCTCCCCCAAAGCAAAACCTCAGCCATGCCCCCCTCCCCCCCACCAGGGAACAACACGGAGACTTCACGCCCCCTCCCTGCAGGCCTGGGCCTCCTGGACCATCCGGCTCACCCTCTAGCCAGGGCAGCTGGGTCACGTGTGCCAACGCCTTCAGCAGTAGAAATGGCCAGATGCAGGCTGGAGACAGGCAGGCGAAAGGCTGGTATCTGGTATCAGATAATGGGACCGGGAGCCAGCCGGGCCTGGGATGGCCGGGCCCTGGCCTTCGTCAGCACTGTGGCCTTACAGCTTCACCCCGGCACTCTGCAGGTCAGCATGTCACGACGTTTGTGTCTGCACACCAGCCCTTCCCCGGCAGGACTGTAAGCTCCGTATGCCCCAAGAAGGCAGCCACAGGCCAGAGCACCACAACCTCCAACAACCAATCCATCGGGGATGGCAGGCCTCCACCTGCACCAGCCAGGCATGGTTCTCCTAAATCTTCTCTAATGTCTTGCCTGGCAGTGACAGGAAATAGGTTGGTGCACCCCTGGGGAGCACCGGCTTCAGTAGCCCCCTGGGCCTGAGCCAAAGCCTGTGAATGTCTGCATCTCCCCTTTCACAGTAAATGCGGTAATAGCACCCGTCAGGACCCCTGCGGGTTGGTGGCAGGAGAGGCATCAGAGCCACCCCTCAGAACTGCGAAGCTTGCAGGCCTCTCCCAGGCTGGGCCCCCAGCAGGCCGGTAAAGCCTGGGCCCAGCTGCTCACACCCCTCACGAGCCCCTGCAAAGCCACCAGCCCTGCGTGCACAGCTGCATCCCCAGGCCTCCACCGGTGGGAAATGAGAGGAAGTGCACTCTGTGATCCCAGACACAGGTGGCAAAGAAGCAGGCCATCTCCGGTCAGCCTCTGCAGCCAGGAGAGAGAGCCCGGCTGCTGTGACTGTGGCCAACAGCCCCACAGCCCCACTGCCCAGCAGCGGACGGAGTGCTGAGGGCCAGCAGCCCACAGCCCCACTGTCCAGCAGTGGACGGGGTACAGAGGGCCAGCAGCCCACAGCCCCACTGCCCAGCAGCGGATGAGGTGCAGAGGGCTGGCTTCAGTGGCCACAGCTGGCCTGCACAGCAGGTGGAAAAGGCTCCTGCGGCCTTCCAGCCTGTGAATTGGAGAGCGGCCAGCAGATGGCAGCAGAGGCCACACTCTCGCCCCCTGAGTGTGTCGGGAGGAAAGTCGGCCTGCCCAGGCCAACCTCCAAGACAGGTCCCACAGAGAAGACACATAGCCACGGGGTAGACAGGTGGAGGGAGGGGGGAGGGGGGATGGAAGGGTGATAGGGAAGGAGAGGGGAGCGAGAAGGGGGGGAGAGTGTGGGCGTTCTCCAGGGGAGGGCAAGGTGGAAAGATATGTGGACAGAGGCAAAGTAAGAGCTGGCTGAGGTCTGCCTGGCTGGCTGGTGCTGGAGTCCTCCATGTCCTCCATGGCCAGTGCTGGAGTCCTCCCTGCTGGTGCCTGAGTCCTCCCTGCCAGTACTGGAGTCCTCCATGGCCAGTGCTGGAGTCCTCCCTGCCGGTGCCAGAGTCCTCCATGTCCTCCATGCCAGTGTGGAGTCCTCCCTGCCAGTACTGGAGTCCTCCATGTCCTCCATGGCCAGTGCTGGAGTCCTCCCTGCCAGTGCTGGAGTCCTCCGTGTCCTCCATGGCCAGTGCTGGAGTCCTCCGTGTCCTCCCTGCCAGTGCTGGAGTCCTCCGTGTCCTCCATGCTGGTGCTGGAGTCCTCCCTGCCAGTACTGGAGTCCTCCATGTCCTCCATGGCCAGTGCTAGAGTCCTCCCTGCCAGTGCTGGAGTCCTCCGTGTCCTCCATGGCCAGTGCTGGAGTCCTCCGTGTCCTCCATGGCCAGTGCTGGAGTCCTCCGTGTCCTCCATGGCCAGTGCTGGAGTCCTCCGTGTCCTCCATGGCCAGTGCTGGAGTCCTCCGTGTCCTCCCTGCCAGTGGAGTCCTCCGTGTCCTCCATGCTGGTGCTGGAATCCTCTGTGCCAGTGTAGAGTCCTCCGTGTCCTCCGTGCCGCTACTGGAGTCCGTGCAGGGACCACGGGGCCGCGCAGCCATGGGCACCCGCGTCTCCTCTTCAATGCTGCGACTGCACTGTTTCAGTTAAACCCATTTGAAAATGTAAACAGCAGTGTGTGTGGGTGCAGCACAGTTCAGGTCAGGGGACTCGTCCTGCTGGGGGAGCTCAGCCTGCCATGGGCCTGTCATGGGCCTGTTGAGAGGACTCAGCTTGCTGTGGGGACTCGGTCTGCCATGGGCCTGCCGTGGGGACTTGCTCTGCCGTGGGGGCTCAGCGACTGCTGTCCACACCTCTCCTCACTATTCCAGTTCCCAAATTCCATAGATCCCAGTGTCCACACTCCCAGTTCACCGTGTCCACCCTCTCCAGATCCCAGTGCAAACCCTCCCACATCCCAGTGTTCACACGACCCAGAGTCCAGTGTGTACCCTCCTCTGACCCCAGGTTCCACACTCCCCATAACCCAGTGTCAACACTCCAAAGAGTACAGTGCCCAAACTCCCCACATCCCAGTATCCAGACTCCATAGATTCCACTGTCTACACTGCCCAGATCCATAGTCAACACGCCCCAGAGTGGTGTGAAGACTCTCCAGATGCCAGTGTCCACACCCCACAGAGCACAGTGTCCACACTCCCCCTATCCCAGTGTCCACACTGCCATGATCCTAGTATCCACACTCCCAGATCCCCGAGTCCACACTTTCCAGATCCCAGTATCCACACTCCCCAGATATCAGTGTTCACATTCCCCAGATC